TTGGTCCTGGCTGTACTGGAACTCCAAGTTCTGCCTGCCTCTGCCTTCCAAGTGCTATGATTAAAGGCGTGCACTGCACCATCTGGCTGCTTGGCTGCTTTTGTAGGACAAATTCATTGTAAATGTTAGTTTCTGTCCTGCCTGGTCCCCACAGCCATTTAGTCCCAAATAAACACACAGAGACTTGTATTAATTATAAATTTATGTTTGTCCTATGGCTCAGGCTTCTTATTGGCTAGCTATTTCTTAATTATTAACCCATTTCTATTAATCTATGTATCTCCGCCTGGTCTTGGCTTGCCGGTGATGCCCTGGCACTTTTCTTCCTTAGCAGCTACATGGCATCTCTCTGGAGACTCACCCCCCCCCCCTTTCCTTTTCCCAGAATTCTCCTTGTCTGGAAGCTCTACCTGTACTTCCTGCCTGGCTACATCCTGCCTGTCCATTGGCTGAAACAGCTTTATCCATCAACCAATAAGAGAAACATATATTCACAATGTACAGAAAGACATCCTCCATCAATTCACCAATCTTCCATCTTGTTATTTTTCTACCTGTCATTCATTCACTTATTTTTCCTATCTTCCATCCTTATTATGATTAAGATACACACACACACACACACACACACACACACACACACACATCAAGATTGTTTGTTTTTCCTGGGTACATGCCAGTGTTTTCACGCTGTGAAGTCAGCAGAAGTGAGGCTACATTAAATATGGAACAGTGGGCTGACATGCAGGCTGTCTGCCAGATACAGAGCCAAATCTTAAATGGCTATGGTGTGGGTATGGGGCTCTGACCAGGATCAAGGTGTCCAGTCAAGCAGTCAATAAGATCTTGAATTTCAAAATGTGGGTGCCTATCTCCAGCATTGCTTTCCTAGTAGGTTTTTGTTTGGCTTAGTTTTGGTTTCACAGGGACCTGCATTCTCCCTACAGAGCTCACTGGTCATTGTAGTCTCAGGAACCAGGAGGATGACTGCGTCCCCTGGTGGTTGCTATGTAGCAACCCATGTCCCAGAAGGCTTGCTTTATTAGTCCAGGTCTGGGATGCCATATCTATCCCTAGCTCTCAGCTGACCAGACAACAGCCAAGTCTGTTTTTCCCCTTGGCCGCTTACCAGCCTGTAAAAACGAGCAATGGGCTAGAGTCAGTGTCCTTTGCAAACCTCCATGTGAACTGAGACCTTTGGGTTATGACAGCTGAGACCCTGAAGGGAGCTGTTCTCAGAGCAGAAGCGGGTCTCAAGGGAAGCTTCAGTGGCAGATGCCAGAGGCCCCAGGAAAGAGGAGGAGGGACTGGCACAGGAGGAGGAGAACTGGGCTGCATGTCTGGACAAGGAGAGGATCCCAGGGTGGGGTAGGTGAGAGCTACCTCTATGGGGGTGCTTAGTGCTGAGTCCACAAAGAACAGAAAGTCCATAGCTTCCAGAATACCTGCAGCCCTAGCAGGTGCTGGAGAGTGGACTCAGTCTTCTGAAGGACAGCAAAAGCCTGTTGAACTAGCATTTTCCCAACTCATCGACAGTTTCTACAGGGCTAGAGTGACTTAGTGTTCACACACAGGGCTGTGGGGGGCTGAGGTGACTTAGTGCTCATACATAGGACTGTGAGATTGAGGTGACTTAGTGCTCACATACAGGGCAGGGCTGTGGGACTGAAGTGACTTAATGCTCATACACAGGACTGTGGGGCTGAGGTGACTTAGTGCTCACATACAGGGCTGTGGGACTAAGGTGACTTAGTGCTCACATACAGGGCTGTGGGGCTGAGATGACTTAGTTATCACACACAGGGCTATGGGTCTGAGGTGACTTAGTCCTCATACACAGGACTGTGGGCCTAAGGTGACTTAATGCTCACACATAGGGCTGTGGGCCTAAGGTGACTTAGTGCTCACAATAGGGCTGTGGGGGGCTGAGGTGACTTAGTGCCCCCCCACAGGACTGTGGGAGCTGAGGGGATTTAGTGCTTCACACATAGGGCTGTGGGGCTAAGGTGACTTAGTGCTCACACAAAGAGTTAGGGATATAGCTCACTTGTCTAGCATGTAACAAGACCTTGGATTCCATCCCAAATACCACACACAAAAATGTCATTACACACACACACACACACACACACACACACACACACACATACATCTCACTGTTGGTCGCGCAGTGGGCCAGCAAGGAAGGCTGAAGGCTGTTGCCTGTGCTTCTTCACACTTTAACTTGAATTTATAGATGCTTTTGGAATTACAGAACCAGTGCAAAGAAGGGCCACATTCCTTACACACAATGGTTGTTTCCTGATGTCTCAACATACTGATTTCCAAACACTTTTGTGGATTTCCCCCCACCCAGTCTTAAATAACTCACTGTGTGTTTGTAAACAATAAAAACAAAAGCAAGGGACACTGCTTTGCTAGAACCACAGTGATGGCAAGAATGGAAGTTAATATTGATGCCATGCTCTTCCATGATGCCTAGGTCTTAATTTCAATTTTCCAGGTATGCCAGCATGGCCCCTGGTGCCTGATGAATATCTGAAAACCCTGTGGCTATTTATCCTCCAGCCTCCAGTCTTCCAGCCTCTCCATCCAGGTTCATGCTGCTGACACTCCTCAGGGCATAGAGCTGATGTATTATAGAAGATCCTCCCTCTGGGGTGTGCCTTCTCCTCCTGATGCTGGGCTGTCCTGGCACCCTTAGCAGGAGCCAGATGGGAATGGCGTCACTGTGTGATGTGTCCTTCAGGGAGGTGCTTGAGGTCATGTGTCTCATTAGTGATATGATTCATCTCGACACTGTATTAGTTACTTTTCTATTGCTGTGATAAACACCACGACCAAGGCACCCTATAGAAGAAAGAATTTGTTTGGTTAAGGATTCCAGAGCAACAAGAGCCCATCATGCAGGGGAGGGATGGCAGCAAGCAGCAAGTGGCAGACATCGCAAGTGGAGTAGGAAGCTTGAGTTCACATCCTTTACCATACGCATGAAGCAGAGAGAGCAAACCAGAAGTTTATGAGGCCTTTTTCTTTCAAAGCCTGTCCCCAGTAACATGCTTCCTCCATCCTCCTTCCAGGCTGCACCACCTAAACCTCCCTCAAATGTACCTCTGACTAGGGATGGAGTGCTCAGATGCCTGAGGCCATGACAGACATTTCTCATTTATGCCACCATGGATACCTTGGGCCATTGCCCAGCTGAAAGTCACTACACACCCTCTGTCTTATGGGCAGGGCCTTTGAGACTGATGTCAGCATTGGAGACAGGCCTGTAGCAGTCCCCGTGATGATGACGGTGGCTGAGTGATGACATTCATTCCTCTGTTCCTTCTACCAGAATTAGTGAGCCTCTACTGAGAGGCAAGGTTTCTTTCCACACATTTCAGTGATCAGCCATTCACCTGTATGTAGGAATCTCAGGGCCCTCAGCCCCAGACTGTAATCCTTTACTTGCTCGGCACCATCAGTGAGGTATGGACTCAGGTTTGATCACCACCTACATTTCAGCTCACAACCATCTGGAACTCCACTTCCAGGAGATTCAATGCCCTCTTCTGGTCTCCTTGGGCACCACACATTCACATGGTTCATGTGCATACATGAAAGCAAAACATTTATACACATAAAATGCACAAATCTTAAAAAAATAATAAATGCTTCCATGAAGACAGCCAGGTGAGATTTAATCAAGAAGCTGGCGATTCCCTATGTGTGTCTGTGTCACTGTGTTAGGGATGGACCTACAACATCCTGCACTTTTAATGTAAATGTTCACAACAGTTTGTGTTAATTGGGCATACCTTGATGTTCTTCCGGTGAGGCATGCATGGGTCCCTGTGCTGTGCTGAGTGAGCACCCACGGAGAGCCATCAGCCATGCAGCTTCCTGACAAGGGCTATTCCTTGCTTGGACTTGTGTATGTGGCCTGGATGAAACTATAAAGTCAGATTTTCTTGAAGTTTAACCTAGAGATCATTTTCTACTTATAAAAACAGTACTTTTCTAAAAAAAAAAATCTCCAACTTCTTTAAATAAAATTTAAGGTTTACAAGTATCTTCTTAAAAGGTAATAGAGTTTCTAAAGCACTTACAAGGATGGCTTAAAATTTTAATGGTAGTCTGAGAGATACATTAAAGAGGTTACAAGGTCTGGTACCTATAGTGTCTTAAAAACAGACACTGTACAGAGCCGGTGAGAACCACAGAATAGTGTCACTCCTGCAGCAATGCAGTGGACATGAAGATAAGTTGCCTTTCTGTATTTTTTTTGGGGGGGGTGCTCTTTTTTTAAAGCAGTATCTTGATAGGAGAAACATGCTCACCATCCCAGACCACATCGGCTGCAGTTCAGGACATCTGGGAGTCATGGGGTAGATAGAGCTCCCTCGTGCTTTCGAGGCCAAATCCTCAGCAGGATTTGTAAACAGCTTGCTATGACTCAAATGCTTGTGAATCTGTGTCTTCCACTTTGGTGCCCTCTCCCAGGTAATAGGGGGTGTGCCTTGGTGCCTCAGACTTTCAGCTCCTTTTCATAATTGTCCTGTAACCTCCAGCTCTCCAGCCTAGTGTGAGCAGAAGGCCAATCCTCTAATTCAGGCCATGTATGTGTCTCTTTTCTTGGCTGTTCTCAGTGATCCATGTTTTCTTTCCCTTCCTGTCACACGTCCTTGTCTTTGGTTAAATGAATCCCACTTTCTTCCCCATGGCAGGCATCGTCCTCTGAAGACATGGGCAGATGGATTGGCATCTTACTGGCTGAAACAGGGTCGTCAACAGACCCAGGAGCCCTGCACTATGACTACATAGATGTGGAGATGTCAGCAAATGTCATACAGACGGCCAAACAGACCTTCTGGTAAGACTCATGTATACCCTGTGGAAGGCCTGAGCTAGCAACATCCTTCTTCTTTTCGCTGACAATAGGTGCTGGGTGAGCGTACAGGTCAGAAGTATACCTGAAGACTTCTCCTTGGTGAGGTGCTGACCCGATGCCCTGATGTTGGTCATGTCAGCCCTCTGGGATTTCTGCTAGAGCAGGCTTGTCAAACTTGACTGAAGATGGTAGTACTGGTGAGCCAGATGGTCCCTGTTACAGCCACTGAGCTCTGCCCTTGCAGCCAGAGACAATAAGGGATTGTGGCTGTTTTTATTTGCACCAACAGGTGGTAGTCCTGATTTTTGTCCTGTGAGCAGCTGGGCAGCTGTTGCCAGCTCCTGCATGACAGGGGCCTTCTAGAAAGCATAAAGGAGTCTGTGTGTTGCTGAAATAAGGCCAAAGATTTTTTTTCTTTTCTTTCTTTCCTTTTTTTTTTTTTTTTTGTGTGGCAGGGTTTCTCTGTGTGGTCTTGGCCATGCTGGAACTCTCCCTAGAGACCAGGCTGGCCTCAAACTCAGATATTCACCTGCCTCTGCTTCCCAAGTGCTGGGATTAAAGGCATGTGCCACCACTGACCAGCAAACCCTAAGATCTTAAGGTTGTCAATGCAGCACTTCATAAATTTAAGTTGTGACAAATAATGCTACTTTGTGCAAAAGCATACTTTTGAGCCAGAATGATTCCTGAACACAATAATAATGAGGGGTTTGTAGCAGCAGTTCCCATAGGGCCCTCAGCCCATTGCTGGCATTCAGCAGCATCAGCTGTTCCACAGGGTCCAAGTTTTTTTCATACTACCAGAGATGTGTTCTCCTTTCTCGGCATTTTGACATGTGCACTGTTGTCCAGGCTATGGTGGTGAACAGGTTCCTTCACAGCACTGTCCCCCTGGCATGTGTCCCCTTCATACACAGTGACAGTACGGAATGCTGGATGAATTTGGGGTAGCCTTGGATTAGGCAGACTCCAGTTGTTTTGAATGCCACAGTGAGCCACACATGGCCCAGGGGTGCAGAGCCACACAGCAGACATGGGGAGGTCTTCCAGGCAGCGGGATGCCCATGGGTTGCCTGACTGCCATTCCTGAATTCCTTGTTTTTACCTTGAAAGACAACCAATGGGCTAGGGATGTAGCTTAGTTGGTTTAGTACTTGCCTAAGCATCTCCAAGGCCCTGAGCTTAATCCCAGGCGCCACACAAATTGGTGCATGTCTCTAATGTAGAGGTAGGAGGATCTGAAATTTAAGATCTTCCTTGGTTGCATAGTGTGTTTAAGACTGTCCTGGAATACATGAGACCACATCTCAAAAAATAAGGCAACTGATAGACTTTGGCACTTTTCAGACATACATTACCTTAGAATAGACCATTGCCCCTGTCACTGTAGGAAAGCAATTAGCAAAGTCTTGTGCTAGTAAAGGGTGGCTTACTCAGAAGGTGGTTTCTACATTTGTACCAGCACTGTGAGCTCAATAGCTCCTCAGCTCACAGGGTCCCTTCTGATGACAAAGTGTCAGGATCACAGAGTGGGGACCTCTCTGATGTACACAGTAGTGATGTGACAAGATAAGGCCCGTTCCTTAGGGCAGTGCTAGCCTGTGACCTACATGTCAGGCAGGGCACAGAGCATCTAACAGCCAGTCACTAAGTGACTGGTACTCTTTAAATTTGGGGTAGCATGGAAGAGTGTCCACAGCCCCCTGAGAAGCTGTGGGTATGGGTCCCTAACTCCCAGCATCACATCCCTGCGAGGCTGCATTTTCCCACATATGTCACTCACATAGCAGAGTGTGGCCAGTGGGTGCAGAAGCAGGGAGTGGAACCCTGTCACCAACCTCAGAGAGACATTTACAGACCTGAAAACCACTGTCCCCTTCTTTAATAGTTTATATTGGAAAAGCTTCATAAACACACATATGTATAAATGTATATATATGTATATACATATATGCACAAATATGTGTTAACTGATTAAATATGATCAACTCATGATTATTGTTTTTAAATGAGTACGTTTCTCATATTTCCTTTGAAATTCAGTAGGTAGTGGACAGGAACTCTTCACAGAAGAGCTGGAACAAGTCACGAGTCCTTTAACACTAGGAATTCCGAACAAAGCATCTGGGCCAGTTGCAACGTGCCCAAATGTACCCAGAGACACATAGGTCTTCCCCTGTATCTGACCTCTTTTTTTTTCATTTTAAAAAGTATTTTAAAATATTTTTCATGCAATATATTTTGATTATATTCTTTTTTCTTCCACAACTCCTCCAAGATCTTCCTGCCCACTCAATTTTATGTTCTCTCTCTCTCTCTCTCTCTCTCTCTCTCTCTCTCTCTGTGAACAAAGCACAAAAGACAACAATTACCAAACCATAATCAAAAAAGCACACTTAAAAATCTACCTGGGGTTCTTTTTAGGTTGGCAACTACTCCTGGGCATTGGGCCAGGCCTAGAATGCGGTTGATATTCCTGGTGACATTCCATTGGAGAAAAATGGATTTTCCCTTTCCTAGAAGCTGTAAACTGCAAATAGCTTCTTTTGGGGCTGGGAGTGTTGAGACAAGGTCTTTCTACTTACCTCTGGCTGCCCTAAAACTCACTCAATAAACCAGTCTGGTCTCAATCTCACAGAGACCCACCCGCCTCTGCCTCCCAAGTGTTGAAATTAAAGGCGTGAGTCATCATATCCAGTACAAACGGCTTCTTGGTTCATGGTGGAACTTTGTCTACTTTTCCCCCATGCTGGGATTTTGTCTGGTTTAAACATGCAGTGTGCTGCCACAGTCTGTGAGTTCATACACGTATCAGTTCTGTTGTATCTGGAAGACCCTATTTCCTTGGAGTTCACCAACTCTGGCTCTTGCAATCGTTGTCTCTTCCTCATAGATCCCAGAACCTTGAGGGGTTCAGGAATCTATGGAAACATTCCATTTAGAACTGAGCTCTCCAAAGTCTCTCACTCTCTGCATGTTGTCCAGTTGTACATCTCTGTGTTAATCACCATCTACTGTAAGAAGCAGCCTCTCTGATAAGGGTTAAGCAATGCTCTGATCTTTGGGTATAGCAGTATTTCGTTAGGAGTCATTTGGTTGCTATATTCCTTTAGCAGAATAACTGTTGTAGGTTTTCCCCTAATACCTATTTACCCTCGGGTCCTAGGTCACTTTAGCAATGGTAGGTATGAATGAGTTCTATCCCATGGAGTGGGCCTTAGTGTCAATTTAAAAAATGGTTGATTACTACCATAACATTTGTGTCACTATTGCACCAGCATGCAGACAGATTGCTGTTGTAGGTCAATGGGGTTTGTAGCTGGGTATATTAATGATTATTTTCCTCCTCCCATAGTGTGTTTAGTACCTTCCAGCATAATGAACACAAGTCAGTAGTGGTGAAACTTCTCTTTGGCAACTAGCTCTATTTTTTTTTTCTGGATTTGATGGAATAAGTAAGTGGTGTATCTTCAGCAAGAGGATCTTACCATCAGGTTGTGGAAGTAACCAATAGCACCGGCAATATTTGGGGGATTTTTAGCTTGATGTACTAACAATTATCAGTACTTATGTGGAAGTTACTAAAATCCCCCAAATAAAACTCACTTCCAGCGAACAGATCACCATATTCAGAAGACACCCTGAATTTCCTGCACACAACTCAGCTTTTCCTTTATAACTGAGCAGAATTTTAATCTAAACCAAATGTGGGGTGGCAATAGCCTGGAGGAAGGAATGCAGGTTGCTGTATCGAACTCTCTTCATTAAAAAGGCACACGCCATATACTTAGCCTAGGAATTTTTGTTTTTACCTCATTAAAATCTTTTTAGAGATGTTAGCTAGCAATAAAGTTAATTTTCATGTTTTAGTTTTCTAGCCAAACATTCCCATAAACCTTAACAGATAGGAGACTGAACAAGCAAACAGCCTTCAAAATATGGTAGCTTGCCAAGGAGATAGATAGTCTGGGATTAAGTTATTTTTTTGCTTTTTGCAACTTGGCGGCTGTGTGGTGAATCTTTGCCAAATGATTATAAGAATTATCAGCAATTGTGTCTGACTGAAGGAAAGAAGGTAATGATGTTCTGAAAAGGAACAGAAACAAAGGGAAAACCCTGCAGGACTCTCCCAGGAGATTGGCGTGTAAGAATGTGGATGGTGCTGGACACTGGGACACGTCCTGAGGCTGACCAAAGACGACGGTCAGATGGCAGAAGGACAGCACCCTGGCACTTCCCCCGTACCTCTCACAGGTCTAGCAGAATGTGATAGTAACAATGTTACTTCTGCCTGACTAAAGGGCAACAGTGTGGGGAAAGCTACCTTCCAGCCACCATCTTCAGGTACCTGCAAGTCTCTGCATTTACATACAGCAGTCCCTGGGATGTCTTTATGTTGTAGATTCAGCCTCTTTTCTACTTAGACACTTGCCTGAAGGTCATTGCAGAAAGAGCACTAGAGGGCAGCGTGAGGCTTACTCTGGGCACCGCATGAGTTCTCTTTACTGGTCTGCCCCCCTCTGTAAATTTTAGGATGTTCTAGTCAGTGGAGAAGGCCTCTGTGTATATGCTTCTTGAATATTTTGGGCGTTCCTTTTGAGGGAAGCAGAAGTGTACCCAGCTAGGGTGCACGTGCTCTGTTGACTGTCTTTGATTCTTCCCGATAACCGTGCATACGTGCGAGTACTGGGCATGGTGCCAGAACCTGATGCTGCAAAGAAAATATGAGGTCCCTGCTGTGTGGAAGGGAAAGAGCTATGTGAACGCACATGCAGGGCTGAGTGTCCAGCAGTAGCCATGTTCAGTGCCAGTAGGTGCAGGCACACTTGTGCCCTGCATTTAACTGAGTCTTTTAGTCAACGCCTTAAAACATGTATGTGAAACATGCAGGAACTCCTAAGTGGCTAGTAAATCTTTCCTTCTTGAATTTTCTCCTTCCTGTGACTTGATTTGATGTAGATTAAGTGTAGAATAATTACATCACTGTTCATAAGCTAAGAAGTCCGAGTCATCCCATTTGCCAGAGGAGCGTGCTTGCCATCTTCTTCCAGCAGGGGGCAGCAGTGAACTATGAGAGAATGTGGCCATTAGGGTGTGCAGAGCCACATGGTTGACTGGCCCAAGCTACTTTTCCCAGAGAAACCAAGTTTGGGCATTACGTTATGTGAATTTAATTTCCCCAGTTAGGAGAAAATGCTACCTAGGTTTTCATAATTCTTCTTAAACAAGCTCAGCTTCCTGAGAGGCCAGCCCATCTCTCCTCGTTGTACTTTGGAGACTGGAGTGACAGCATATTTCAGACGCTTGTGTTCTGGAGGGGAGAGGCAGATGAGGAGCATGTACAGAATAGGCCAGGTCAGGATACAAAAGGAGGAGAGTTAGCATTGCAGAGGGGGGCTCCTTCTTACTCACCATCGGGGATGACCCCTCTGGCACAGACAGGGTATGAGAGCAGCATCCTGCGGGGAAGAGGGACAGCAAAGAGGAGGTAGATGCTGGAGAGACCCCCAGCGGTCCTGACACCATGCAGGCCCAGAAGGAGGAAGCTGGAGGAGCCAGGGGTGAAGCTGGAGTCTGGTGAATGCAGCCTGCCCTGGACAGTGCTTCACTTGGTTTGTCTCTGTGGCTTTTGAAGCCTGTGGGTGGTGGCGGGCAGAGGACTAACGTGCTCTGGCTCTCTGGAGAACATGGATGGGGAGGAGAGTCAAACTGTCTTTTCTCTATATGTACACTTGTAATCCTCTGGCCAACAGGTATGGGCTCCTCTCACACCAGGTGACGCCCCAGTTCTCTGTGAACTCTAGCAGGGGGCCACTGTAGGACAATTCTGACACTGTCCACCAGGACACAGTGTCAGGTCCTGGAGATCAAAAGCTCTGTCCCCAGGACTCTGTCCATTTCAGATGTCATTCACAAATCCAGTTTGTCACCCATGCTCATTAAAGAGCAGATGTTAACACGAGATTCTCACAACCCCACAGACACTTCTTAGACCTAAGGAAGTGGTTTGTTTGCTAGGTCACTGGTGTGTTAGGAATACCCCAGCATGGAACTCCTGGATAGGAGAGGCAGAGGGTCAGCCATGGGATACAGGAGCTGCCACCTCTTCCGTGGGTACAGTGCTCTGCCTGGATCTGGCGCCTTCCTTGGGTGCATGCCTTCTCTAGGTATGCTGACTTCCCTGGGTGCAGCACTTCCCATGGATTCAGTGTCCTCCCAGAGTAAGCACCTTTCCTGGATTTAGCGTCTTCCTGGTTTACTCCTCTGGGTATAACACCTTCCCTGGATGAACCACCTTCCTGGTGCCTCCAATCCAGAAGCTCTTCCACCCTGTCTTCTCAGACCTGAAAGTCCCTGACTCTGATCATACAGCTGTTTCCTTAGCCACTAGCACCCCCATCCTCACATCCTTCAGGCTTCCCAGGGACAGCAAGCAGCTCATTTTGATGGGCAAAGGAGGCCTGCTTCCCATTATCATTAGGAAATTCAAGGTTTTAGGGGCTCTGGCCAAGTATAGGAACCAAGACCCAAGCATGTATGCCATATGTATCACAGCAGCACAGGCTTCCAAAGCCTTAGTGTGGCTACTTTCGGGGCCTTCAGAAGATCAGGGACCAACTGAAGGTATGCTTTGTGGCTGCCAGAGCTCAGAAAGTGCTTGTTGAACAGCCACAAATATCCCACAGAAGGCCAGGGAGTGGTGTAGCCATGCTGGCCCTTGCCTTTGGAAGTGGCCGGACTCTGCAGACAGATGTGAGCGGAGCAGCCTTTCAGAAAGAGCTGCTGTGCCCTCTCTAGGTGTATGCTTTCTCTGAGCATGGTGAAAATAAGTGGTACCTGTCTGATCCCCTCCACTTGTAGGTGTTGTGGTGTATGCCCATACATGGTGTCTATTGTCTGTGCTGGAGCCTGTCTTTGCTCTGGGTGAAGATTGGCCCCAGTACCTTGAAGATAACACGTGCTTCTGCCTAAGCTTAGGTCCTAAGGGTTCTGCTGCTGAGCCTGTCATAGTCTTTGGTTACATCAAGGTTCACAGAGGCTCTGCTGATTAACTGGTGTGTCCATGTTTTCTCTTTCTCAGCTTTATGAACAGGCGGGCAGTGTCCACGAGCCCATACCTAGGGAGTATCTCCAATGGTTACGCCCACCCCAGTGGGACAGCACTACACTACGATGATGTCCCCTGTGTCAACGGCTCGGTGAGTGTCCTTCAAGAGTCAATGGGTCAGTTTTGATAGAAGACAAATTGCTAGTTGGTTCTGTTCTAGTTTTCCATCCTAGTGAATTGAGATTGAGAATTATACCACTTCTCCCCCAAACCCTGGTCTCTGAGATGAACAGCAGGTCATGTGATCCCTAGTAGACAGTTCATCTACACGTTACCATCACATCACCCGAGATAGAAGATAGTGGATTAAGTTAGAATAAATAGATGGAACTGAAAGAATATTCAGTTTTACAACTTACATCATTCAGACACAACACAGTGTAAGTTACCCTGGCTAGTTACACTCAATACAGCTGCAGCAGCCCTCTGGCCACCAGGCAGAAACAGTGCCATGGAGTGACTGCCTGTTGCACACTTGGATGGCTCCTGGCATGGCTGGTGTGGAGCACTCGCATGTGAATGTGGGGATGCTCTACGGCAGCATCATTGTCAAGCTAGCCCATAGTTTTTATTTTTTCTGTTTTGTCCAATGTTTCCAGATCATTAGCAGAGACCTGCTGGGTCTCTATTGTTTGGCTGATGGCTGTGTACTGTGTACCTTTGGTGGCCAGGCCTGTGCTTGTCTGTGCTGTGAGCAGGTGTGGAGAGCATGTGCAGGAAGCCTTGAGCTGAGAGGAGCCAGGGTTTCTTTAGAAACCTGTTTTAGACTTGCATCCTTACTATTCCCGACTTCGTTCTTTCCTCAATATTCTGATGGCAGGGAGACCTCATGGTGCCCTCTGTCCTTTGCTCTGTAGCCCTGTGGACAGATCTGTGCTTACCCTAGGGACCACATCTGGTGAGTGCTATGTGCAGGGCTCTCAGCCCAGCCTGTGTGTCTTCATGGTCCCCAGCCCCCTCATCCTCATCCTTGCTATTGCATCATTTTTAAGGTGGCGCCTGGCTTCTGTGGCCTCCCTGTATCCATGTAGCCTCCATCATCACTGCATGGGCTTGCTTCTGTACTCCAGCATCTAGGCTCTTCTCAAGGGTGAGCTGCTGCTCCCAGCCTGTGGGCTCAGCAGCCTTCTGCAGGCCTTCCAGACAAGGCCTCCACATACCCACACCACACACACACACACACACACACACACAAGTAGCAGGTGAGCAAGGTGCTGCAGGGCTTGACGAGTCATACCATACTTGTGTGTCCAAGTCACCATGCTGGCTCAGGCACCCTCAGTGCGTCTCCCCAGGTTCACCCATGGTTTGATGTGTGTGCTAAGGAACCCCCCTTACACGCATGGTGCTGGGCTTTAGGAGCTGAGACATAATGCCCTGTGTGCATGTGTCCTGCCCTTCTGTTTCCTCATGGCTTTCCTGCCCAGGCTTCCTTAGCCTGTTTCCTGTGTGCAGGCCTCTGTTACCACATGACTGCATTTTGGAGGCTTCATTTCCAGGTTCCATAAAGTCTACACTTTATGACCGAAGGCTCAGAATGTCAGTACTGTTTCCCCTATAAAAATTCAGTTCATTCCGTACTCCCTTTGATTCTTTGAGAAGGAAGGGCTCTGCACACACTCACTTTTATTCTAGAAACTTCTGTGGGATTTCGTCACGGTTTACTAAGTATTCCACATGACTTGATCCTTCCTATTTTAGGAAAATGAGAGTAAAGTATAGACCATTGTATATCTGTATGGCTGTCACTGAAATGCCCCATCCTGGCTTTTCTACGTTGTTTTAGGTTGTTCGCTTGTCCCAGCATCACAAAAATAGACACTGATGTGGCTGCAGAAGAAGACACCCCCACCCTGGGATTTTAGGCCTTTCCTATTTTTATAACAAAGGGCTGTAATTATAGTCTGGCAGGAAGGAGCGCTGCAAGGAGAACATAAAAACAGGCTGAAATGGGCAGAATATATGAATTAATATTTCCTTTTATAATGCAGAGCAATTTACAAAGACCTTTAAACCCTGAAGGGATCTGGCAGTAGTTAAGAGTTTGGGGTTTCTTTATACTTTCCTGCTAGTGCTCTGAAGTCGCTGTGTACTGAGAAGTGGCTTTGAACTGTTAACTCATTGTTCAGATCCTCTGCTAGCATAATGCCATTGTTCCATCAATGTCTGAAGCATCCTGCATTCTATGACAATGTGACTTCTGTCTTTAGCAGACTTTTTTGGCCATGGAAATTTTTTCAGATGCTCAAGTGTAGAACTTAGATTATATTGACCTTGATGGTGAATTTGTTGGCCACAAGGCAGCATGGATGAACTTAGGGTGTTCTTGACATCAGTCACGTTCCTCCATCAGAGCCTGAAGCTCCGTGGCAGCAGTGTGTGGCCATGAGCTCGACTCTGTCCAGCTCCGCCTTTCCTCAGTTTCCCCTAGTTGCTAAGCAGACTCTGTGATATGTAAACCAGTGTGTCCAGAGCACAGCGGGTGCCATGGCCCTTGCTCATGATCTCACACATGCCTTCCTGTGCAACAAAGAGCTCCAGGCTCTGCCCAACTCCCCTGACCTCACTTACTGTGCATCAGCGCACTTCCAAGCTCCAGGTCTCTAGAGCTAGCTATATGCTAGCTCAGCACTCTTCATTTTAAAAAACAGAACAAAACCATCACGATCTAATGACTTTGGAAACTATTTAAGGATAGAGAAACCTTTCTTATGACTCCAAAGGCAAAGGGGCCCTTATGAAACTGCCCACGGCTGTGGGAGTTGTGCCTGTCCTATGTGTGTGTGAGTGACATGCAGAGCATTGGGGGGCTGCTAACATCTCGCTATGCTGATCTTCTCTGTCCTCATCTGGCCACTAACGAACAGGCTGTATGTGTTGCAGTGGGACATGGATGGCGGCTTTCCTGGCTGTGGGAGCAGAGGCCTGGCGGAAGAGGTGCTTTATGATAACGCGGGCCTCTACGATAACTTGCCATCACCGACAATCTTTGCTCGATCCTCTCCTGCTGACCGGAGGGCATCTCGGCCACCCGCTGACAGGCTGTCCTCTAACCACTACAAATCCCCCACCTCCTGCAGCCCACCCTGCTCCCCACCTGTCACTAACACCTCTTCTGTGGGGAGGGCGTCTCTCGGGCTGCACTCCCAGGTACAGATTGCGTTCCCAAACTCCCTGACATCACTAGTGGACCTGCAGTGACCTTGTACTCACCTCCTCTCAAACACCAGAGTGTCACAGTCTTCAGCCATAGCCTAATCCACAGTTAGTCACTAAGGGACTGGAGAGCCATTTGTGACCAGCTCCCAGCTTGTCTGGCTCCTGTCTGGATCCCTCCATCCCTGCTCCTGGAGAATTCCCCATTGCACTTTGAGATTATGAAAAGAGGCCATGCAACTTTCCAAAAGATTGTGAAGTGGCAGGTTTCTCTTGTATAGTCTATCTTGTGTATAAATGAGCAAGGGTTGCCCCCGGGGAGTGGTTATTTCCTGTCTGTAAACGTGGCCAGCACAGTCCCAAAGCCAGTGTGTTGTCTAGGAGAATATAACATATGCCCTGCACCTGTGTGACAGGAGGGCTCTGATTCTGGGTGTCAAATAGGCTTGCAGCTGAACTCCTGTTCGCCCACTCTCTGACATGCATCAACATTTCAGAGCAGACACTAACTGCCTTCATGAATTTTTAACCTAAGCATTTTAAATGTTCTGCCTGGAGTCCTGAGTGCCTCATTTAAGAACACTCTGAGAACATAAAGGAAAAGGCCAGGCTTTCCACATTCCAGGCCATTCTTAGGGTAGTTTTGAGAAAATAACAGACACTAGGCAGGGTCCAGATAGTTGCGACTTACCATAGTACCTCCAGACATTGCTTTGTCAGGACTGACTCCAGGAGTCTGAGGGGTGTGGACCGCTGAGTGACCAGTGTGAGCACCATTGGCCTCTACCAGTGTCATGAGGATCCCTGCCCAGATCTGGCCGCTGTGTCCTACCTATGCACCTATCTGTTTGTTGGTAGCAGAGCTGTCTCTGCTTAGCTTAGTAAATCTGCCACCTGTGCACTTGGATTGTCTCCGCTCTAGTCAGGAATCACACGATGCTTTCTGTGGCACCACCACTGTTACTCATCCTGGTTTCTGTTTCAAACAGGAAACAGTCCTAGGCTGAATTCTAGTACCTTTACTTGGCATGTCCTTGTGTGGCCATTCTTTTGGAAACCTGCTAATGGTCAGACCACATATTCAGAGAATTCCTGGATGCCATCTTGTGCATGGCTGTGCAGTGCCATTTAGGAGTCCTGTGGGAGGTGCCAGTGTCTTTACATTTTTTAAGTGAGCAAACAGAGGTTCAGGAAGTTTTGAAGGGTTGGCTCAGAATCCCCTAAATGACAAGCCAGAATTGCAGCTAGATCTGTATGCAGCCTCACACTGTGCCTCCAACAGAAGAAGAGGCAGGCAGTGGGAGTTGCGGGGAGAATGACAGGGTCTGAGTGTCATTTATATCAAGTTCCCTTTATATCAAGCTCACTGCCTGGCATGCAGTGTCGCCTGCCAGATATGAAACTGTGGCTTGCAGGGTAAGCAGGGGACTATTGAATTTTTTTAAGCCTGTAGCTGGTCAAGGCTTGCCTTGTATATGTTTATGCTATTTCTATATATGTGTCTCTTGCATCCTTCCTCAGACCCATCAGTGATATGAAAGGAGGTTATGTATCCCATTATTGTATCACTAAGTTAAGGGCAAGAACCTCCCTGCAGAGCCAGACCCTTCCCATAGAAGCAGCCTAGTAATAGAAAATCGATCTAGTTGTAGAAACACAGGCTCACAGGCTCTCAGAGGCTGCTGCAGCAGACCTGTGCATGGTTACTCAGCGACTTTCCTATCAGCACCCGAGGCCCCAGCAGAATTATAGCATCGTTCCCATTGCAGACTTCCTGGTAGTTCTGAGTGTCCCGCCTTCAGTGCTGGAAGCTTCCCAGCTATCATAGAGATGTCACAGAAGTCCAGTAGCTAGAAACTGAGTTGGTTTCCTTTGCTCTCTGACCATGCTAGTAGGTTATACTTACAAGATAAAGACTAAAAGAACTAACTTGAGGCAAAAGGGTGCTTTTGTTTGATTATTTTTAACTTTCTCTGTGTGTTTCAACAGTTGAAGAGCAAAAAACCTCCAGTGTCACCTAATGGGGTTCCTGGAAAGGGGAAGGCTCCAAGCAGCCAGCAAAAAAAGGTGGATTCAGCAGGTGGCGTGAAACGGACAGCATCCAGTGAGTTTCCCTCTGGCTCCCTGCTTTCTGCTTTGGTACAGTTTGCCAGCTTGAGGCTGGCTGAGCCACTCCTACCCCTATACACCCCCCACAGGCCAAGGTCTTTAACCCAGCTTCCGTGGCCGTTGCTTGGCTTCTTGATATAGCATTCAACCATGAGGCGCTGGGGCTTTGGTCCAGTTTGTGTCCCTAGCACACCATTGACAAGCCACATAAACTGAAGGCAGTCCCTGCCTCTGTCAGATGTGCAGATGGCCAACCACTGTGGCTGATGCAGTGGAAAGGGTGATGTTGGGCACTGAAAGCAAAGCCCCTGAATGCTCACAGGCACAGGAGGGAGGCCTCACTGCCCACCCGCTCACAGACTCCTATCACAGTCTGCAGCCAGAATCTTCCACCACTGCTGACATCTGATAGCTGTGCTGTTAGGGTAGGTGCTGTGCACCCCATTATGCAAATGAGGGAGGCACCCCAGGTAGAACAGGACAGCCAGAGGTCTCACAGTAGGCCAGCTACTGAGCTAAAACATGGACTAGCCTTCAGACTTCAGAGCCAACTATATAGATCAAACGGCCTGCCTAAGAGTTCAGCAGCTCTCCTTCGTGTGCAGCTAAATTTGGTTGTGCTGGGTTCTTGAGTTTGTTTGCCCTGCTCTCATTGCATTGGGCAATCAACATTCAGCCAGCCAGCCAGCCAGTGGGATGTATTCACTCAGGACACTCCACTTGTTGCTGGGGATCTAGTAAGAAGATCAGGCCTAGGGACTGCAAGGGCCTCCGCTCGTCCCGGGGCTCCTCCATCAGTCTGAGCCAAGCAGGGAAGTGTCCATGTCAAATCATGACAAGCCACTGTCACTTGGGATTCCTACCTGAGCATTCCAGTCTACAGCCAAGCTGTTGGTAGACCAGCCTCCATGACGGTGTAGATACGGCTAGCTACTTCACCTGGGGTCCTCCACACCTACCTGGTGCAGGAGACAACAGGCCTCAGACCTGCACATGCTGGCATCTGCTTTAGAGTCAGAGTGCACAAGGGCACAGAAAAGCTGTCTTTTTCTATAACTAGAGCATGGATGAGCCTTGGGACTTCAGCAACACTTGGCTGCTTCAGCCCCAGGGAACCTTTGCATTCTTGACAGGAGCTTGTCTGTGCCTCTGCTTTCAAACCTGCATTTCAAATAGGCAGGTCAGGAGCCTGTCAGGCTGTCTCCTCATTGTCACTGGCTTCCTTTGGCCCCCTCTCTGTAATTTCATTCCCAATGTGTTGGGTGTGTTCACATTCTTGTTCTTGGTGTTGTTCATTCAGGGTGGTGCAGGAGCCAGAGGGACGAGTCGGCCTAAAATGCCTTGTTAAGCAAGATCTGAATCCCATGTGGGCTCCTTCAGCCAGACATTTCTCATGGCCCTCTGCTCAATTTTATTTTATGGATGATTTATCTCAATATCTGGTGGGACCTTCTGTAGGGAATGTTTTATTAACTTTGGTGACATCTAATGGAAACAAAAGAGAAAAATAATTGCATCTTGTGCTTTTGCGGAGTTCAGCCAATTGCATTACAGTTGTATAGAGTTTATTGCGTGGGGACCAAATGGTGGGGGAATTTATAAGCTGTCATCTGTAGGTTTGTCAGGGGACATATTGGTGTAGACAGTGGAGTTTGTACAGTTTGTCATGGAATTTTCTGGAAGTACCTTGGTTTCATGAGATAGGGTGGCTATCCTTGGGTTGTGGATCTGGTAATATCAGTCTATAGGGGTCTTTTTGGTGAGGGAGAAATGCTGACTGGATACAGGAAATCCATAAATTCCCTAAATGGCACTTCCATAAATGGCACATTATGGAAGAAGTGATGGCAGAGCTAGCTCAGGGCAGGTACTGCATGAGCAAGCCTCTGACAAGCCAGTCATCTCCTGCTGTCGTGGGGGCTGCCTGTGAATGTCTGCTTCATCCCGGCCATCTTAGCACACAGTTTTCTGTTAGAGACATGCACCTACTTTTAAAGACCCACACAACATCCCTGTCCCTCCATGTCTTCTCCTATGGCCAGTGACAGAGGGGCAGGTGGGGTGCAGCCACCCTTGGAGCTGGCAGGTGATGCAGCAACTAGAGATGATGGAAGCCTCACAGTGGTGACCCCTGACCATGTCTCTAGCCCCTCAGCATCTTTTCCAGAGATGCTTTTCCTAAATATCTATCTGGCCACTTTAAGTTCCCCCAACATACTGTGGCCTGAAACTGTAGACCAAACTGAAGAGACTGTGTGGTCTGGGCCCAACACTGTGTGAACTGCTTGCTATGTGCTGGCAGTCAGGGTGCTGGGTTTCCCCCCGAAGCTTTTACTTATTCACTCATTCATTGTTCATTCACTCATTAAATGTAACAGCTATCTATAGAAGACTCACTTGGGGAGTTACTTTAAGTACTTTGTAAATATTAATTGAATTCTTATAGCTGCCTATGAATGACCTGCTCTTATCCCCATTTCTCAGGAGGAGAAACCAGGGGCACAGATTTGTCCTAGGTCACAGGGCTCCAAGATTGTCCTCTGAATTGTAGGTCTTCAGGCACCATGTACTGCCTTTCTGTTTTTCATCCAGTGGAGAATCCCTCCCTATCCGCTTCTTCCAGGCCAGAATCTCAGGCCAAAGAGACATCTTCCCTCCAGTCAGGGCAAAGCGTTCTTGTAATTACACAAGTGGGGGTGGGGAGAGGCTATGCACATAGAGACTGCATAAACTCTAGGTTTTTTTTTTTAAAAAAATTGATTTGTTTTACTTTCTGTGTGTGTTTTGCTTACTTGTATATCTGTGCTCCCTGTGTATGCCTGGCAACCAAGGAGGGCAGAAGAGGGTCTGGGATGCCCTGGAACTGGAGTTACAGATGACTGTGAGCTGCCATGTGGGTGCTGAGACTTGAACTCCAGTTTCTGGAAGAGCAGCCAGTGCTCTTAACTGCTGAGCCATCCCTCCAGCCCCAGTAGAGGTTGTTTTTGACAGTAACAAATTGTTACTAGTTTCATTTCTTCTGCTGTAACAAATAGCAGTTTAGGGAAGACAGAGTTTACTTGGCTTACAGTTACAGGTTACAGTGTGTTATTGTGGCAAAGTCAAGGCAGGAACTTAAAGCAGCCAGTCACTTCACATTCAGTCAAGCACAGAGAGAATAAACACATGGTTACCTACTTGATGTCTAGTACGCACAGCCGGCTTTCTCCCCTCTCTACACATTCTGGGCCCAGCTCATGATATTGTGCCACCCACACCGAGGGTGTGTCTTCCCAACTCAATTAATAATCAAGATACACCCTCACAGACATGGCCATGGGCCAAGCTGACCAGATAATACCTCATTAAGATGCTTTTCCCAGATGACTCTAGACTGTATCGGGTTGACAGTTAAAACTGTCCAGGTCACTGCCTGCCAAGGTTCCAGCATCTTCACTCTGAGCCTTATTGACAATTACTTGAAAGCTGAGGGGTGGAGCACAGAAGGGATGAGCCCTTAAGGGATTCCCCAGTATTCATCCCTATTTGTAAATGTACAGATCAAAGTATTAGAGGATTTGAGGCAAGTCACTAGAGTCCCTGCTCCAAGCCTGTCTTTCCCCTCAGGACCAGCTAGGAGCAGCTCTGCAGTACTTTGAAGAACCGCTGAGCCACAGGCTGACCCCTCTGGTTCTGCTAACTCTTGGTGCTCCTTATTTAGATGCTGACCAGTACAAATATGGTAAGAACCGAGTGGAAGCAGATGCCAAGCTGTTACAGTCCAGAGAGGAGGAGCTGCTGAAGAGGAAAGAGGCCCTGCGGAACAGGCTAGCACAGCTCCGGAAAGAGAGGAAGGACCTGAGAGCCGCCATCGAAGTGAATGCAGGTGGGAGGGCTTGGCTCTGTTAGCCCATGCACTTGTGTCCCTAGAGTTCATTCAGCTCCACCCTCAGACCTGTGAGCCACAGGGAGCATTGCCTCCTGGGGTGCTGGCCTGGTGGGGAACTCAGGGCAACACAGGATTGGTTGAGCAATGCCACCATAGGCAGGGACTGTGATCTAACCCCAGCAGCACAGTGCGACACCAGCAATTTCAACCTCAGCTACTAAGAGCCAAGAAGGTTGGCAGGTTTTGTTCCTTGTCTGAGGTAACTCAGTGGGCCTTCTGTGGAGGAAGGCAGCCACCGGGGCTGAGCAGTTTTCACAGGGCTCTGCCTAGGAAGCAGTAGCTCTCTATTCTTAGAAAGGCCTGGGGGAGAGCAAGGCTGTACCAGGTTTTGGGGATCAGGGAAAAAGACTGTGTTCATGGTCCTGAACAAGGGAAGGTGAGCAAGGAACAGCTGTCAGGGTAGTGGTGTCCGGAGACGAGTGGTACTCAGGCCCAGGCTGTACCTTCCTCTTGCCAGAACTCCCAATCTGGGATGAAAACTAACATCTCCCTCTGATCCTGGCTAGCACCCCAAAGGGTGACTTTTTAAATTTAGCTTCTGCCAGCTAAAACGGGGAGATGAGCAGCAGATGAGGAAGCCCAGAACTGGCTTCCAGAAGGTTTCAATGCAGGCTGAGGCTGGTGCATATGTCCATCACAGTTAACCAGAACTGAACTCTGTCCAAGTCATGGCTGTTCAGGAGCAGAGAATAGGAGGGAGGCGCCCATTGGGATAGTCTGTGGGAGTGAGTTGGGCAGGGTGTCAATATCAGGCTGCCTGGGAGAGATGGAAAGCTGAGTCTATGGCATGGAGGGAACGTGGCACTTATTGGCCGGTTTCTCTACCCGCCTATGCCAAGGCACAGGACAGAGATGCAGAAAGGCCCCAGCTCTGCCCCTCAGAGTGCAGGCTCCCTGTGTCCTATGGCTTGCCCACCTCACTAACTTGGTTTTCTTCTCTGTCCACTACTATGCATTTCCTGCCCATGTTGGTCACAAACCAAATTTCAAATAAATAAGTTAACTGGCAAGCCCTGGAGAAATATATGCCAAGTCCTACAAAGATGTGGGCCAAGTTTTTTTTTATTATTATTATGTATATATTTTCATTTATATTTGTTAAAACTGGTTTTCAACTTGATTGTACATTAGAATTCTTTCTGGAAATCTTTTTTTAAAATTTTTTTTTTATTAGTAAGTTGGGAACAAGCTTGTTTCACATGTAAATCCCTTCTCCCTCCCCTCATCCTGGGCTGGGCCTGGGCCCTTCCCCATGTGTCCAGATGGGCCGAGTTTTTTGACCATAGCAGCATATACAATAGCCCACACATAATTGGTAGAATTTGAGACCTCCTTGTTCAACATCCCAGTCAGGGGCCCCTTTGGGCCACCATGCCCTTTAAGTGAGTGTTGAGAGGCCCCTCAGACTTGTGAGTGGGATCAGGCTCGTGGGAAAGACCTGGCAGAACTCAGCTATGTCAGCCTCTCTGTGAGGTGACCATGTGTCCCTGGGATTTTAGGCAGGAAGACCCAGGTGGCCCTGGAGGACAAGCTGAAGAGGCTGGAGGAAGAGTGCAAGCAGAGGGAGGCAGAGCGGGTCAGCCTGGAGCTGGAGCTGACTGAGGTCAAGGAGAGCCTGAAGAAGGCCTTGGCAGGTGGTGTCACCCTAGGACTGGCCATCGAGCCCAAGTCGGGGACATCAAGTCCACAGGTAAGTGTCCTGGAGGCACTGTACAGGGAAATGCTCCTTGGTCTCTCAGGCAGCTCTCTCACTACCATGGGTGGTGTCAGGCTAATTTTCCCACTGTGCCCAGTGTGTGGGAACACTGACCTCTCTTATATTCACCAGAGTATTTAAAGGCCAGTTCTGAGTCCATGTCTCTCCTCTGCATGGTTAGATCTGACTTGATTCCAGATTGATAGGCAAGAACTCACTCCCATGAGCCCCTGACAATGCTACCAGGTCTCTAGAAACTGCGATGACAGTAACATGGCCTATGCACCTAAGTCTGTCATGAGGGAAGCACCTGTCAAGTCTGAACCCTTCCCTTTAGTCATGGCTCCTCAACCTCACCTGACTCAGCCACTGAACCTTGCTATGGTCTTCAGAGGCTTGGGACTGGGTGTTCATGCTCTACTGCTTCCTGTGTCTCCCCAGGGTCCTCCCTATGCACTGTGGTTGTCATCAACCCCTGACATTGGTGGAAGCATCCTGTATAATTGTGACTAGACCACTTCCTCAGAAGAGTAGTGCTTGTTAGGCAGGTGCTTCTGCTTGTTAGGCAGGTGCTTCTGCTGTGGCCTGGCCACCTCCAGACACACCCCCTTTGCACCAGCGACCACACCCACCCAGAGTCAATGCTGCCTCTGAAGATGTTCAAGGGAAGATCTATATTACCAAAACACTGAGCTGGGAGTGCCCCAGTCAGGAGCACTCACAGGGGTTCTGGGCTAGCATCCTGCACATCCCAAAGTGTGTTTTCAGTGTTCTGTGGTAAGTGATAATAACATGGTCTCCACAGTGCCATGAGTTCCCAAAGGACAGTTTGCAATCTTATGTAGAAGAGCCAGCAAGCCAAAGTCAGGCCCAAAGCAGCTGAAGAGATAAGTTGTTTCATTATAAGCTTTCCAGAAATTTCTCTCTAGCATGTGAAAAGTGAGAGCGGTCACAGACCTTCACTGCTACTTGGGAGTCACTTATCATCCCTGGATCCCAAGCTGATGCTGTCTGGTACTGACAGCTTCTACTACAGACTTGATACTTTCAGGTTATCAGGCAGCTCCAAGAAACATTTGCAAACTGAAGAAGCACCATGTGGATGGACAGACGAGAGGTAGTGAGGGTAGGAGTGTGGGCCCAAGTCCTACCTCTTGGTGTTCCATCCTTTGTCCTCAGCTTTTCTTTCTTCTCTTAAATGAATTGTCTAAAGGTGCTCAGGTACTGGCTATGGTGATCCTTCCTAGTTTTGCCCGTTTCCAAATCACTTTCTTCTTTACCAAACCATTTCTTCCCGAAGAATGCCAATGGCTGAGAACCACCCCTCACACAAGGCTCTCTCTCATTAACAGTCTCCTGTGTTTCGGCATCGGACTCTGGAAAATTCTCCCATCTCCAGCTGTGACACAAGTGATGCTGAGGGGCCCTTACCTGTGAACAGTGCGGCTGTCCTGAAGAAGAGCCAGCCATCCTCAGGCAGCTCCCCTTGCCGTGGGCACGTGCTGCAGAAGGCCAAGGTGAGCCTCCCTGCAGAGCAGGGTACCCGAACTCAAAGTGAACCCCACTGTACTTGGCACTTGGCCTCTTCCAGGTCCCACACACACCGGGGTTCAAAGACAACCACCAGACTGGAACCCCCAGAACGTCAGGTCATCTCACAAGTGGGCAGAGTCATCCCTTTGGGCTTGTCCTCCTTTGGGCAGCACATTGGGCTGAGTGACCATAACGTTCTTTCTAGCGCTTACATGCTGTGATTCTCCAAAGAAGAAAAAAAAGAAAGGCATTTTTCTTTCCAAGATGTCCCCAGCACCCTGGTCATTAGCTCAGGGTCCCTCCTCCCCTGAAGTCAGGGAGAGGAGCCATCAACAACCTTTGCCATGATTAAATTCTAGGGATTCCCAGAGCATAATTTCTAGATGACCACAGCCAGCACTTCTCACCCATTGTGATGGAGGCAACTGTAGGTTGGCCTGAGCTTACCTGGGAATGAATGGGATGTGAGTCCAGATGGTGTCCCTTTGTTCTGAAGATGGAGGGGGCTGAGCACAAACTCTGCAGTGTCTCAAGGCCTCCTAGTGCTGGCACTAATGTGTCATTCCACAGCCCAAGCCTGTTTCTCAGGAGCTGGAAGCATATTGCTTTTAGCAGGACAGACTGCATGCAGGGCAAGGACTCTGCTATGTTCTTAGCTTATCCTGGGATGGTAGTAGGAATTCTGCTTGCCCAGGTTCTCAGTGTGTGTGCTTCCCCAACAAAGCATGTTTTCTAGAAGGCACCATGGGCTAATTGGAAGAAGGTTACTGAGCTGATGTTCTAGTGGCTTCCCTGAGCACCTTTCAGGCCTTCTTAGTATACAGCCAGCTTCTCCCTTACAGAGGACCACTTTGCCTGAGTCTTGTTAGAATGGAGCTGTGTGATAACCCTCCTAGTTTCTTTACCATCAGAGAAGAGGAGGGGAGAAGCCAAGTCATGCTATGAAATAAAAGGCTCCCTTGGCTCAGGCTTTTCAGCCTTGTCCCCTTCTGATGATGAACATGAAATCTGTGACTGCCAGAGTGAGACGCAACCACCTCTAGACAGTTCCTATACAGCACAGAAGGGAGGCCGCTGCTTCTGCTCACAGTTGTAGCCAGTACACAGATGGGAGGTGCAGAGGTTCTTGTCACTGCAGCTGGTCTCTCTGACATGGCCTCAAGAGTGAACTTGAGCAGGATGGCCTAGTGCTGGAGGGGCCCCACTAGACATGAGGTTGTGTTGAAAGGACATACTGACTAGATTGAAGTCTCTTGACTTTTTTTTAGAATCAAAAGTTCAAGTGTAATTAATGGCTGATGGCATAACACTAACAGAAATAAGAGCCCTGATGGAGCTATTGGCAGAAACAAAAACTTGCACTGGGGGTTGAGGGTGAGGGTGGGGGTACCGCAGGCTTAGCTTACTGGTGGCTTGGTTCTGCAAAGGGACATGTCTGGCCAGATTCCTCGTCTCAACCACCCCAGTCCATGGTGGCTGAGAGGACCATATCTGAGGGGAGTATTCAGGACCTGCTGCCGTTCCACCCACCTGTCCATCCACCTATCCATACACCCAACTATCCATCCACCCACCCACCCATCCATCCACATATTCACCCACCCACCCACCAATCCACTCACCCACCTACCTATCTACCCATCCATCCACCCACCCACCCATCCATCCACCCACCTATCCACCCATCACCCATCCATCCATCCACACCTTCCAACATTCACTTTCTTGTGGTAAAATAAGCAAAGCCATCCTGACTTATTGGCCACCTCCAGAACTTCATCTTCCTAGACGCCGTCCCTGAAACACCAGCACCACCTTCTTCCCTAGCTCCTAATACCCACCATGATACTTTTGTCTCTATGAACTTGGACTTCCACATAAATAGACTCACTTTATTTACATGATATCCTGGTCTTTACTTACATGATATCCTGGAGATCCATGGTGGACCAGGGGTCAGCACTCCCTTCCTTGTTCAGCCTGATGATTGTCCCATGTCTGGAGGCCACATTTACTTATTTGCCCCTGTTGGTACTTGGATTGTGTTTATCTCTGGCTGGCTACATAGAAGTGGATGTGCTTGGTAATCCTTTTGTTCAACAGGAACCTGAATTCTGTTGTCTGTGGCTGAGCCCCCACATTGTATAGGGCCATGGTGGTTTGTGGAAGCTTGTGAAGGCCAGGATCAAACTCCTTGCATTTACACACCTCTGTTCTCCAGGAGTGGGAGCTGAAGAATGGGACATAGAGGGAGACCAGCTGCACCCAGACAGAGACTGCATACTGCCACCAGCCTCAAGTGTGACACGTGTGCCTCCCAAAGTGGCCTGAGCATGACTTCAGAAGTTTGGACTGAGTCTGACGCTGACCCTTGGCCAGCTTGTGTGCACGCTCTCTACTGTACGATGGTGCCCTTTAGGAAAGTTTACTTTAAGACTTTGGTGTTCAAATTTACTTGTTATAAAGCAGAAACAAAAGGGGTTGACAAGTTGTTCTGAATACCCTCTGGCAGATGGGGCAGTCAAGGTTCTGAGAACCTCAGCTCAACCCTAGCTTGGACCATGTGCCCCTGTGAGATGGAGTGGCCCAAGCCTTCCCATGTGCAGCCAGAGCCGCATACATTGCCCCATTTGCCAGAGGGTCCTGCTCTGTGGCAGGATGAACTCCTTGTGTCTCTGCAGCCCCACACCCTACCCTGCCTGTCCCCTTGTCACTGGAGGTGAAGCCATGAGGAATAGTGCTGTGAAGCGATTTTTAAGGTTTGGTTTTGTTTTTGGATACATACTTTTGTCACCAGGATGGAAAAGTTGTCATTCTTTTTACTAGTGTTTTTTCTTTGTTCTCTTTTAAAGAAAATGTCCCTTTTTATCACGGCTATGCTTGAATTTTAGGGACTTTTCAGAGACCCTGTTTCCCATTTTATGATGTATTTTGAGAGGCAGCATGGAGCTTTCAGTCCTTGCCTAGCAGTTGCCCCTTCCCCTTGACCTGAGACTCCAGCATCCCCTACTGCTGGGCAAGAGCTCCTCAGCCCAGGAGGCGCACTGGCCACCATCTGCCTGTGGATCTAACAGTTGAGGCCAGAGCTTCCTTTGGAAATAGAGCAGGTTTGAGAACCTATAGTCAAGCCTGGACCATCTTTGAACAGAGATGAATCCTTCCAGAGCACTTCCCTCTAGTTTATAGTTGCAGCCATGGGATCACAGGTGCACTCCCATGCCAAGGTTCTGGCTATGTGGTCCTCCTCCATTGCCCTGCCTGCCTCTGTGCACTGTTTCTTGGATAGTTCAGATACTCAATATGTTCTGCCCATAGCTCATGGGTGGGGCTAGCTTCTATCCTAGGGGTCTGAACATAAAACTGACTTTTGGGGCTTCCAGGGTACTGTCTAGACCTTTCCATCGCAAGGAACTGCAGACAGAGAGGGGGAGTTAGCCATCTCTGCAGTCTAGTTCAGAGGCAGTTATATACAGTTATATACATGGGCAATGGGCTCGTTCCCTAGACTGAGGATCTGGTGATGCTTGCCAGAGGCAGCCTTCCCATCACAGCCCAGAATATCCTTTGCACACACAGAAGAAAATTTCCTGGGCTCTCTGTAGAGGTGCCTTTCAGGCCTGCTCTCTGGGCAACCTTCACGGTGAGAGTCAATGCTCTGTGTTTCAGCCCTGCAGCAGCTGTCTTAAAGTTACCAAAGATCAGCAAGGTTGTCACCATTGTACAGGGACATCACACCAGCCATCTGAAGCTGCTCATCTGGAGGTCCTCCTCAAGCTAGACCAGTGTAGAGCTGCTTGCCAGCTGTCTGATGGTGCTTCACTCTAGTGCCTTCCTCCACAGGGCAGTTAGGACTCTTCATACCAGTATCTGTGTGGGCTAGATTCAGCCAGGAGACTGCGTAGAAAGGACCTGGAGGAGGATGCAGGGTGTTCATGGAGCAGCAACTGGGGGAGCCCCTTGGGTCATCACAGAGAGCTGTGACCATTTCATGTCGCCTGACATTAGTGCCCTGAAAGGAAAAAGAGTTTAAGCTGCCGTATACTTCCGCTGCCTGTGGGACTCAGAACAGTGCTTTTGGCTACTCTGATGGTAGCCTGCTTTGCTGGGAAAGCTGTGCCAGGCTTTGATTATTACCAAGACAAGGAGAACATGTCCAACTAAACATCCAGTTCTGGCCAGCATAGAGGGACTCTGTAATTGAATGGGGTTATTAATGGAGCACCATGGTCCAGCAAATAAGCCCCAGAGGAGCTTGACCTGATGAAGACATGGTAGGCTCCAGGCTCTTCCTGTTCATGTCTTGTGCTAAGAAACCTAGGCTTGTGATTCACTTGACCTTGGTGGATCCTGGAAGTTCCACAGAGCTGCATAAAGTAGGTCCCAGGGAAGGCAAGGCTCCTGACACAGGGCTCTGCTGTCCTGAACTCCCCTTCATGTTCTTAGATTTGGTCAGAAAGCTAGTTTAAAACATTTGCTTCAAAATAAGTTATTTATTTGTATATGTTCAATAAATATAGTTTTAATTTATATATGTACATATTGGACACCCATGAGACATCCTGTCAGGATTCTCACAGTGTTCTCATTCTATGACCCTCCCAAAGCCACATGCATGATCCCAGCCATCAATGGCACAGGTGTTCTTTGTGTGGAACCAGGTGGGCAGAGGGCAGAGCCAGCCCCTTTCTGTGAGCTATTGGGTCTCTGGACTATGGGAGGTACCCCACCTTTTGGGACCTCTCTTTGTCTGAGGCCACAGTGTTTCTTGAGGTCTACTTTTGTCACAATTTGACAAAGATGTCATCAGGTACCACAGTCCCCTCCACTTTCATATCCATTCACTAACTAACCCTTTAATACAAATATCATGCTGGCCTGTGGGCTTGCTGTGGTCCCTGACTGGGAAACAGGTGTAAACCCTCACTGTCTCACAGTCTCATGTACCAGTGTTCTTTCAAGGGTGAGCATGGGTCAGTCATGTCATCCCAGGTGCCAGAATGACCTGCAGGCTGGGTATGGACCCACTGCACACAGAATCTCCCAGAGTCCTTGCTGCTCCCCTGCCTCATAGGTCTCTCCCGTATACATGCCTTGCACTGGGTACTGCCTCACCCAGCTGTCCACCTCATCTGTCCGCTTGCCCAATGTGCTTTTTTTTTTTCTTTGTCACTAAGCCCATGCTGATGGACTGGAGAATTGGTACTTTTAGAAAATACACTTTGAAAAGGAATGCCGCAGGCCCCGAGGCCACTAAGGAAGGCTTCCACTGTTTGAATTCCAGTTAGAATTCACATTCAAGCAGCAACAGAAGTTTTGCTGGTTTCTCCTCCCAAAGACAAGGGACACGCCTACCTGTAACAGCCTACCAGCAGCTGACATCCATTCGGTGCTCTGGGGATACCTGAGCCAAGCAAGTGAGTCCTTCATTCACACCCACCCTCACCAGCAGACAGGACGCCCCCAAGGTCCATTCCATGGGTGTGACAACATCAAAATGATGGACTGTTGTCTTTCTTCTCCTCCTCTTCTTTTTTCTAAAGTACTTTTAAACCAGAAACATTTCAAATCCATGACATATTTTTAAAGTAATTGAATGTCTGGGTCCTGTTCCTACTGACATACTACTAACCACACCAGAGGGCAGGTTTCTACTGTGAAATAAACTGAAAATAACAATAAAACTCCTGTGCTATCTGCACTCAGTTTGGCCCCAGGAAGAGGCTGAAGCAGTGTGTGGCCATGTCGATGGCATGGGAAGCCTACCCCTTGGTTTTGAGGGATGTCCTTTGCCAGGAGCTGGGGACAATCCTGGTTTTTGAAACTTCAGCTTCCCACACACCGGGTTGGATTATCCTTTCAAAGTGGGGCCTTCCACTCATAATTCTTAGGGACCAAAGGTGTTTCTAACATGATAATGTTTTTAATTGATTTTCTAACAAAGGTTTGCTTTACATTTTAACACCAGGTTTTACATTCTAGGTATTCCAAATGAATTGCTCGTGGCTCTAAGTTGTAAGATGTTTTTCACGTCATGAATGTAATTATTTCCTTATTGTATTTTTTAAAAAAACTAAAGTCATATTTAAAATAATCTTGCAAAGACACAGGCAAAGAAAAGAGAAAGTTTTTTTTTAATTAACTATGTTGTAGCCCATTTGAAATGACTGTAAATATATTTTGATTGTGCAGCTCAATGTATTTAATTCAGAAAGTAAAAAATTTTATGCAAAGAGACTTGCAATGAAAAATCCTAGTTTTCAGCCCATTTCCCCACATTTTCTAGCCACTTCATCCAGCTTCTCTGCTTTACAGACTGATTTTTCTACTGTTGTAACTATGTACCCATTGACGGCGCCCATTGGCGGAACTTGTTTGTGTATTAATAAAACTGTGCTGTGTGGCCCAGCCTCATGTTCTCCCGACAGTGGCTCACAGTGCAGTGCAAGAAGTCCACAGTTGCCTGAATCATCATTTCTGGGGGTAACAGAGGTCACTGGACAGCTGTGAGGGGTGGATCTCACTGGTGAAGGGGAAATCCCTCTGCTTTAGAGGATCCTTGAGCATTTTTTTTTTTTGAGTAGTTTTGGTCTCTTGCCCTGAGTATTTAACTCAGTAGACACCATCACTGCCTCCTCACCTCCTTGCTCCATGCCAAGTGCTGGAAACAGAAATGAATCCCCTGGATGCCTGCTCTCGGGGAGCCTGCAAAACACAGACTCCTTCTAGTGAAGGTTGCTTGGAGATGTAGGGAATCTTAGATGAGGCGGTTAGCTTTAAACCTGTTAGAGTTTTGAGAGCTGTGAAGGTTATGTGAGCTAGCAGTGGCTTTTAAACAAAGGTGATAGTTGCTTGCAGCTAAGTGAGAAGAGGGCTGGGGTGGGCTATGGAGAATTTGGGGAAATTGAGAAGGGTCCTGTCAAGTAGAGAGGAATAGGGTGACTTCAAGGCTACTTAGGGCTTCTGCAGGTGTATGCCAGCTGATGGCTGGCTAGTGGAACAGGGAGCAGAGGAGATGTAGGAACCCACTACTGGGATTGACATCTGGACCAAGAGCCATTGAGTACCTGGGGACTGTGGTGAGGGAAGTGGTGGTGTTCAGAGACATGGGCAAACTCAAAGGCCAGTTCAAGCCACTAATGGTTGAAGTATTGGGCATCGGGTGATGGAGGGTCTTACTACACTGGATCTGGAGATATGGGACACAGGCTCCAGGGCAACTTCAAGGTCACAGAACTACTCCTTAGGGGCATTCAGTCTATGGGGATTCCTGGAGCTGTACCAGCTCCCACCTTCTCTTGTCCAGGGTTGGCCACTGAATTCTAAGCACTGGTCAAATGTCATTGAGCCTGTTTGTATGTGATGCCTCGGGGTTTGGAGTCCCTGTGTGCTGCCAGAGAAAGAAGGGTGCTGGCTAGAGACCCCGAGGGTGCTCATGCTCTGGTTATGATCTGTAACCCAGTGGTGTGGAGACTATCAGAGATGTACAACATCGGGGCCCTCCATGGGAAGTAAGGAAACAGTATCAGATGTCTGTGACTCAGGAAGTTTGTGACAGAGACATCAGTTTTATGAGGCTGCTAAAAAACTCTTCATGGGAAGGGACAAGGTAGTCAAAAACTCAAGTGGGAGGCACAGCTGGTTAAAGACTCAGTGGGAGGGGACAGGTGTGCATTCCTCCTGAGCTGGAGCTGGGTGCACAAGCTCTTCGGGAACATGGAAAATGTCCCACAAAGATCTTCATAAACTTTCCTAAGCCCTAGTCAGAGCAGAGCTGGGTGCCTCTTTCCTGGGGTGCCACTCTTCCCTCTGGGAGTCTGTCTGGCTTACAGTATGGCACATTCTGCCTCTAGAAATGCCAAGTGAACGTTCATGTGTAGACTAACCAGTCCAGAGCCTATGGCCTCTGGGGGATGTTTGTCTCAGCATTCTGCTGGATGCAATGCTGACTACTGATACACAGCATTCTGCTGATTGGGTCTGAAAGGAGCAAGTTAAGGGTCTAGTAAGACAGACCAATCCCAGTGCTGTGTCAGGAAAGATTGAAAAGGGAAATTAGAGGCTCAGGAAAACCATCCCCAAATCTATACCCATGAGGGAGGCTCATATCCCCTTTGCTATAAATCTCAGGCTTGCCTTAGAGTTTCTCAGGCTAACATCAGATCACAGCCTGCAGGGGCCCTGCAGAAGTATATCCAGTGTCCTACCCACTATGCATCTGCCCACAGCTTTGAGATCACAACCTGTTCCTATAGTGGGCTTACAGGGTGCACAAATGGTTGTGGGCAAGACCTGCTCCTGAGGTGTAGGGTTCTTCGTTCTGGGATGTGAACTCTCAGCTTTTGCCTCAGCTGCTGAAGAGACCTCTAAGGGGACATTGTTATGTTGAGCTGACAACAGATGACAAAGCCTGTGAGGTAGTGGAACCAGCAAACCCCAGGCAAGCTGCAGCAGGGCCTTGATGAAGGTGGAGTCTCCTCTGAGAGCCTGGAGATGTATGCTTCCTTATGCACTCAGCTTCCTTCCCACGTTCATGTAGATACAGCACTGAGTACATGGTGCTCACAGCCCTTCCTGCTCCCTGCTCTTCACCAGCGGCTTTTGAACTCCCCTTAGCCAACAAAAGAGCCCTTGTGGGTACTTGCTTGCTGAACAATGCTATATCCATATTTTCTATCTTTAAAAACCAGTTTTTCAAGTTTTTTTCCTTTATAAACATGTCACCCTGGACAGAAACCCAGACACACATACCTTCTCATCATCACTCCACAGAGACCTTAAGTGTCCCATCAACCCTGCTGCCTTGTACTCAATCAACTCTTGACAGGACAACTTCAGGCTACAGTCATGAATCTCTACAGACTCATTTCAAGCTTTCTTTGTGTAGCTTGTGCCTGAGAAGTGTCCAGAGGCTGTTGAACTCCTGCTTCCTTACACACTGGGAGAGAAGCCACTTAGCAACACAGACAGGAAACCCGTAGTCTATTACTACAGCCCATCTCCTGCATCCTGGAACCAAGGCTGGGCCACCACAGCCAATGCTTAACCCTGGTCCAGGCATATAACATGGCAGCATCTGTGGGTGTCCCTGGTGCCAAATGCAGAGACCCTTGGTAACACTATCTGAGTGTGTTCTGGCCACCTTGCCTTATTTATTTGTTTATTTATTTATTTATTTATTTATTTATTTATTTATATTTTTCGAGACAGCTTTGTAGACCAGGATAGCCTCAAACTCACAGAGACCCACCTGCCTCTGACTTCCGAGTGCTGGGATTAGAGTTGTGTGCCACCACTGCCTGGCTCCACCTTGCCTTTTTATTCCTTTATTTGGAAGCTGCACTCTGGCTTTCTAGCTGACAGGTGGTGCAGGAAACACATCATGAACCCAAAGGCTTCCTTCTGTGTTGGCCATGTGATCTAATCCAAACCTATACTCCACGGGAGGAAGATGTGGAGTCCAGAGGTGTTGCACCCTTTTGGTAACCCGAGGACACCTACCCACCATTGCACCTAATCAGAAGGCCATGATTAGGATGGTCTCCACTCAGCTCTGTGCTCCAAACCTTTAGGGGCTCCTCCCTTTTGTCGACTTTCTTATTTGCCTCAATGAACATTTTCTCCCTTTCCCAGATAATTTCATGTCTTTTCTCACTTCCTCATGCCCCACCTCATACCTCACCCCTGCTGCTGTGTTGCCCTATCCTGGGGCTGGACACCTTATTGCTCCTTGGTTCTGCCTCTCTGCTCTAGGCTACACCACACTTGATCACTCTGGCTTCACTGTTCTGTGACTTCTAAGCTGGATGCTATCCTGCAGGTGTCAGCTATCCCTCTTCCCAGCAGCACATCTTGGGCCCAATAGGCAATGGTGGGCCAGCATTTATAACTCACGTCCACCCTGTCTATACTGGACCCCTGCCCATTACTCACTCTGCTATCTACACAATGCCTGCCATTAGGGTTTCAGGCTCCAAACTAGGCATTAAGTGATACCTTTCTTCAGCCACAGCTGAGTTCCACTGGCCTTGTCCTCACTGCAATCACATGGCCCAGGCTCCTTGGGCTGTTTATGGCTTCCTTTCCTAGCTTCCCCTATTGACCTTGAGTGACCTGAGGGCCTGTGGGACCATTTCTCTTTCCTGACCTCATTCTTGACCAGGACTCCCTCTCCTTTCTCACCTCTTACCCTTCCTGGTCCCACTGATAAGAAATAAATCCTTATGGCCCATTTTAAGTATGAGGTATGTAAACAGCACATCAGACAATTGCAGCTACAGGAGGTACTAGACCTGTGTCTTCCTTAGCTTACAGCTGGTGCCTGCTTGCCTTGGCTCTCTCCGTTTATCCTCGGGTTGAAGAGTTACATGTACCTATGTGATGGAGCAGAAATGGGGGAATCTTGGGACTCAGGAAACGGAGAATTTGGGTAAGGATTATGCTAGACAGTTGAAGATTGTACCTCCCTGAAGAACTCAGCCAATGAAGAATCGGGGGAGGAAAATGTGATTAGGAACATAGCCACCATTTTTTTTTTTTGCACTAAATCTGTGCACCTGACATTCTTGCCTTTTCTCTAGGCTGATCCACAACTTTGTAAGGTCATAAAATTAACCACATCACTTTCACTACTTAGAGTCTCCAGTGCTCTTAATATGAAGTGAGGATTTGTTTCTCATGCTGGGTCCTGCTGTGTGACCTTGCCAAACAGGCACCTGCTGTGCTCATGGGTGGTCTGAGCATTCCCAGATCTGGCTGGCACCACAACTCAGGATCCCCCTCTATTGTGGATTGGTTTGTACATCTGCTTCAGGGCAACTGCCAGAATGGCCCATGGAGCTGTGGGATTCGCCTTGTGCTGGAATTGATGCACAGCCAAGACTGAAGCTGTCATTATGGCTGGCTTGCCATTGCCCCATCAGTGCCCTCCTAGCAGGCACAGCTCAATACTGCCTTCTGAGCCAAGATCTAGGTAGGTCATTAGCAGAGATGAACATGTGGGCCGTAGTGATGTCAACTGAAGTCTGCCAATGCTTCTGCTAACCCAGTGATGAGCCAGCAAGTCCTGGACTGGACCAAGAGCTGTGGGCATCCTGGGTCTGGGCATACTAGGTCCGGGATTCCTGTGACAAACAGGAATACTGTGACAAGGGAACATCACCATGGAGTTCCAGAGAACATAACCTTGCTTGGCTGCTATCCCTGCACCTTGAGGTATCTCTATGGTTATTCTTCCTGGTATGATGCAGAGGAACCATGGATGCCTCCCACAGCTCTGGTAGAAGACGGTTTGCTGGGCCAGACATCCATGTACTACCCACTGAGTGACTACAGACTACAGACAACCCCACACAGAATCTCCTTTCCATGTGAATCCTGTCCCTCTGTAAGTCACCAGGAACTCACTGCTGGTGCTCCCAGCTAAGACCTGAGAGCACAGTTAGAGCAGGAGGCTC